CGGCCTGTGGGCACAGGCTCTGCCTCTGGTGGGCTTTTGGTTAGGCAGTGGGCGGTTGCCGCTTTGACCTCAGTCTCTTTTCCAGATCCGCATCCCCAAGCGGGCCCTGGAGTGAGATGGCCTCTTTCTGATAGATTTTTCCTCATAGACAATTTTAACATAAAAGCAATGTTAATAAAAACCAAATGTGAGCTCAGGCCTTCCAGTAAATCATAATAGATTAGATGCTGCACCGAAATGAATATCCCACAGTGGAAAGGGTTGACCGGTTGGCGGAAGGCGCTTGTCGTGATTCGGTTGGGCCACATAATGAATTCTGGTTCGTTTCTGTAATAGAAAATGCAGCCTTTGCTCTTTTGTCAAGTCTAAGGGCAGACGGGGTCGGGGGTGGGGTGAGTTTTGTAGCTTTTGTGGTAAAGGTTCCTGGTCCACCCACCACCCTCTGCTCCCCCCCTCCTTTCATTGTTTATCCAGGAGGAGTCTTGGGCTTTTTGTGTGTTTTGTTGTGTTTTGTTTCACTGAGATGAGCGATGCGGGAAAGGTTGAAAGGTAATAGGATAAAGGGTGGCATTCGCCATGCAGAGAGCTGACAAAACGTCGCTTTCGATCTTGGCTGACGCGTAATCAGAACTGGAAGTACATTGGAAATCGACCCAACATCTGGTTAGCTTTCGAAATCGTTGGTTTATAGTTTTCCAAAGCTGGCAGTGCTCAGCGGGACTGCAGCCAGGGAGACCTTGCGTGGTCAAAAGAAATTGTAAAAGTTGGAACGTTATTTACCTGGTATTCTCATGGTCTCTTTATCCAAGCTTGTCTGTCTGACTGGGTTTAGGGCAGCTCTGGTCTGGGTCTTTTGCACCCCTGCCCTGACTGGGGTTGTCGCTGAAGGGAAAGAATCCAGAAAGCACAACTCACATTGCAGAGCCACGCCTTTCCCTTCTAGTGGATTCTTTGAATGAGTTAGTTGGGAGGCCACCCCTAGCCCCGCAGAGAGGGGACACCCATCCTGACTCACGTGGGCGGTGCAGGCTCTGGGCCCAAGGCAGGGCTGAGGGAGGGGGCCAGGAACACGTGGTCTGCTGCAAGTTGGCGAGCTGGTGGCCCGCGAAGTGCATCAGGGTTTCTTTGGAATTTTTCTGTCACTAGGCACTTAAGGGTTGAAGCAAATAAGATAATATGTTATCCACAGTGTTTATTTCAGGCGGAAGGAAATGACTAGCAAAGAAACGCTATTGGGTTTGCAGCAAAACCTGCCTTTCTATGACTGAAAACTGGAGAGCGTGTGTGTGTGTGTGTGTGTGTCCTTGCACACGTGTGCTGTCTTACCTTTCACATGTATGTGTCTGTTATACCGTGACATTGACCTTATTCATTCAGAATTGGCAGCTGTCATTTTGTTTCAGGAAGGTGGTTTAAACCAAAATCAAATGCTTTTCCACAAATTAAATGCCGACCTAAGAATAGTGATGATGATGTAATGTTTTGTTATAGAAAACAAAAATAACAAAAATGAGAATAAGATTTTTTTTTCACCTTCCTATGATTTTACCATCTCACAATAACCAATTGCTAATAAGTTTGTTTATTTCTTCCCAGTCTCTTTTGTGCGTGGGTGATAGTTGGGCTATTCTGCTGAGTTGTCATGTTGTAGCTTCTATTTTCTGTATGTTTTCCCCTAAGTGTTAGATATGTCTGATCCTCTCCCCCTTTTTTTGTAGTGGGTTAAATTTGATCGAAAGTAGTTAACTCCTTTAAAACTTACTTAACTAATTCAGCAAACATTTATGGACTGTTGTCTTTGTGCCAAGAACACTGCTGGACACCATGTCACATGTAGCTTGGGCAGGCAGAGGGACAGAGAAGAATTGACAAGCAAGTGTCATGGGACACAGAGAGGGTGGAAGGTGGCCCAGGAGTCCTAGGATCGCGTTAAGCTCTAGGCTTTTCCAGTATCTGTGTGACTTCAGGCAAGCTCCTGTGGTCTTTGAGCCTCAGTTTCCTCATCTATAAAATGGAAATAATTTTACCTCCTTCGTAGGATTAGATAAGGATTAGATGAGGCATTGCAGGTAACATGCCTGGTTGGTGGTCACCATTTCTTCAGTGCTTACCACGTGAAGGACATCTTGTCTTCTTAGCAGAATCCTCCCTTCCTTCCTCCCAAAGGCACCCTGGCTTTACCCAAAGAGACCTGGGATTTTTGTTGTTTGTTGTTTCTCCTGAGTGCTTTGGCAGGTGGCGAGGCCTGCTTGAGAAACACTGGGTCGTCAGTGGCCGTCAGCTGCTTGCTGAGGCTTCTGGAGCCAGAGGAATGTCTGGGGCCTTTGACTTGCTGCACAGGCCTTGAAAACCGCGGGCCAGCGTGACCGGTTCAGAGCAATGGGGTTTTAAAAGCCATCTACAGTGGGAGAAGGGGAGACACAGGGGAGAGGAAATGAGCCACCCGGCCTGGAAGGGACTTTGGGGAAAGAAGGGAGATGTTCAGAAGGGGATTTTTGTTTGTTTGTTTTGTATAGTTTGGCCACACATTGTGTGGAATTGCCTCTGCTCTCTGTCTTCCACGGCTGGTCAAGTCCACCTGGCACGGACTGTATTGCAGTAGTGGGTCTGCTGGGGAAAGGGCCGGAAGCGTAGAAACCACCCCACAGTCAGTCGTAGCACAACCAGATCCCATCACCTGCCACTGGCTGCCTCTCGTGGGTTCCCTCACGGAGTCAGTCTCCAGGGGTCCTGGCACTGAGCCTTGCCTGTCCCGCCCACCCTCCACCTCATGGCCCCTCCCCAGCTCCGCTCCACTGCCCGCAGTACCCCCTGGCCTGGCAAGTCCTGGCCCTCCCTGTCCAACTCAAAACAAACTCCTATTCATCCCTCAGAACCCAACCTGAGCGCTCTCATCTCCTGAGAGCGGCCCCAAACAGCTCAGCATGCCTTTTTGGGGCATTCCTCTATAGCTCAAGTTTAGCTTTGGTTTTTATTCTTCCTTTCCCTTTATAACATGAACGATATGGAAACATACTAATCCTTGTTTAAACTAAAAATTCCCATCGTGCATAATAACAGGTGGTAACAGCACTCTGTGACACAGTGCTTTTCCTCAATCCTCACAACAGTCCTGGTGCGGGTAGTTACCGTAAGTATTCCTTCCCATTTAACAGGTGAGGAGACTGAGTTTCAAATAGGTCAAGTATCAAAATAAAACTCCTCCCACACTGACTCTCTCCATGGATGAGGGTGAACCCCAGGACGTGGAGGCCACCTTGGAAGTGGTAGCTGTTGTCAGCACGGGAGAGCAGGCACCCTGGGCTCTCCATTGTGGGTGGTGCCACCCCCGTCCCCCATCTGGACCCAGTCTACCTTTGGAATCATCCGAAGATGGTTCACCCTGTGCCTCTGACTTGCTGTGTGACCTCGGGGAAGCAGCTTAACATCTCTGGGCCTTAATTTCCTTGCTGAAGTGTTGCAGTCAGTCCTCAGGGGCCCTCCCACCGGCGTGTGGCGCTGCCAGTGGGGACCGGTCAGGAGAATCTAGGAACATTTGTCTTTCTGTCAATAAAAGATTTTCCCACAGATTTTCTCATTTTCCAGAAATTCTAATGGGGGAAGGGCAATAATAGGAAAGAGACAAAATAGACTTCTCTGTGGAAATTCAAGACCAATTTGCACCTTTCTCTGGTTCTGTGGCTACCACCACGTTCGGGGCAGCCAGCAGCTGGGCTCGCCTCTGCCCTCTGTGAGGTGGAGCAGGGGGTGGTCGGGTCACACAGTTGGGTGACACCCCTGCGAGGCAGAGGAGCCTTTTTCCCTGTAACCACTGAGTGGCAGTTCGCAAAGGGCCAGAGATTAAAGGTTAGGGAGATGTTAAGACAGTGCTGACAGCTCTAGAAAAAAGCACATGCCGGAAAGATTCAGTTGACATTCTTCTCGCCATTTTATAAGCCAGAATGCTTCAGAGTTGGACATTTAACATCAAGACGGACGGGATACAGAATCCACAAATTACATTTTCATTGCAAACAGATTTTTTGATGAAGCCACATTTGTGGAGCGTGAGAGAGAGGAGTACCAAACTCGAGCCTTCGGGCTGTCCCTCGCCTGTCATGTCTCTGGTATGACTTAGCCTCTCGCTGGGAGCTGGAAGGAATTCAGCGAGGCAAGATATATTGTTATGGTTTATTACGTCAACGTGTGTGTAGGAGTTACTCAGAATCCAGACGCTCAGCTCTTCAATGCTATCTTCCACCATTTTGTCAAGGTTCTAAATGACGCGTCATCCGATACTCAAGGGGCCGTATTTCAAGAGTTCCGAGAAGTGCCACCTTCCCCCCTTTTGTAGAATAACAGGAAAGGACGTGCTTCAAGCATAAACAATGCATTTGGTTCTCTGAGCTTGGATCAAGCAAATGTTTGTTTCTACAAGTGTATTTTCAAGAGCCTTGCTAGATGAGCGGCGAGCAGTTTGCAGACCTCTTGTTTGAGGCCTGGGCCTTTCTAGCAGCCCTGACGGGTCTCCCATCACCCCAGCTCCCAGGTGCTTCTTTAGGAAAACAGATAATGTGGCTTGTTGTTATAGGCTTTGCACCCTCCCCACCCCCATCTTGTCTTCTGTCTTTTAAATGCTGTTCCTTTTCACATGGGGAACTGCTGAATTTTCACTGAAGGAAAAATAATTCCTTTGCCTGTTGTCGGATCTGCTTTATTGGTTTCTGCATTGTAGGTGCACCTTTCTGTAATCAAGGTTTAGCTTAGTCTGTTTCTGCTAATGCCACCCCATCAGGGGCAGAGTGGCATCTGCCTTGCCCAGCTCAGAACCTGCTGCCCGGGGAGTGTTTGTTCAGTGTCAGGCACTCAACAAACTCATTGAGTTTGTGGTTAAGAGCTGGAAGGTACGATTGTTGAGGATGACTGTAGTTTCCTTTGTGTCTGGTCCCTTTTTCTCTAGATCTGTGTTCCCCCAGTGTGGAATGCTTCTAACATAGGGGTGGCCTCTTTTTCTGTTCCAGGCATGGATCCTGAGAAATTAGAGCGGATCCAGCTCCCAGTGCCGAACGCGGCTGGGAAGACCACCTATAACCATCTCCTGGCAGAAAGGCTCATCAGGATCATGAACAACGCTGCCCAGCCAGGTGCCTGGGACATCTGCTTGCACGGCTGGGGTCACAGGGCCCTGGTCTCCTGGATTTTTTTCCCAGCGGCCCTTCCTGGTCCGTGATGTTCCCAAGGCCTTGGAGGCGTGGCCTAGAGACTTCCCGCTCTCCTGGGCCCTCCTTCCACATTGGGACTGTTCCCAGAAATAAGCTTAAAGACCCACAAAGGAGTTGGCATGAGAGCAGTTGCCCTTCAGTCAGTCAGTTTCTGGTGCTTCCAGGAGAGATACCAGGTGTGGGTTTCGGCATTCGGAGCTCCCAGAGTTCACTGCTGCTCGGCCGTGGCACCCTGGATAAGTCGCTTCACTTTGCTAAGCTCCGGTCTTTAGAGTACCCATTGCAGTAGATTTTTGTAGAGATTTCTTGAGGGGGCACATATAATATATAGTGACTGGCAGTGTGCCTGGCTCACAGTAGGATAGCATAGCAAGCTGTGTTAGTCAGAACTTGGTTGCATTACAGAAACCCAACCCAGACTAGCTTAAACAATACCAGCAGAAACAAACAAACAAAACTGTGTTGGCTTATAAAGTCTGTTTGGATCTGGCTTCAGGCACAGCTGGATCCAGGGGCTCAAATAGTGTTTTCAAGACTGAACTCACTACCTTTGGACTCTGGTACCTTCTGGGTTGGCAAGATCACTTCCAGCACCTCCAGCCATCCCTTTAACACTGGGACTCTAGACTTGCTCTAAGGGGGCCACTTAGGTCTATGCAGTCCAGTTGGAAGGGAGATCTCAAAGCTCTATTTGCAGAATGCTTTACAAAGGTTGAAAATGCTGGTGAGGGTGGAGAGGTGAGCACAAGGCGGGGTTCTCTACTCAGCAGTTCCAGCAGACCATGGGATTGAGCCTTAGTGGCTGTGACTGGCTCCCTTGCCTGTCCCTTGCCCAATCACTGTGACCAAGAGAATGGAACACCCTGACCAGCCTGGGTGATGTCCCCACTCCTGGAAGGGGGTGGGGCGACCAGCTGTACCCAAATCACATGACCCAGAGTGGGGCTGGTGTTTCTGCAAAGGAAAGTGTGGGTGCTCATCCCTGAGAAAGGGGAAAGAATGCTGGACAAGCAAAACAGCAGCAGAGGGCCACTTCCTAAGCCTTCAGTAATATTTAGTCACCCCCACCTATAAGGGGACCTCGGGAAGTAGTTGGTACAGGCAGTTTTGATGGGAATGTTGAATTGTAACTGATTGGGAAGGGGGTTGGCATGTGGGGTCTCCCTCTGTGTCCCCACTGGATGTTGGGGGCCTTGAGCAGTCAGCTGATGAGCTGACCTGCTAACCTCAAAGTAGGTAGGGCAGGAGCCTTGTGCTTAACGGTGCTTTGCCGTGTGCGTGCGAGGCTCACCCTGCTGTGCTCTGCAGACGGGAAGATCCGGCTGGCGACCCTGGAGCTGAGCTGCCTGCTCCTGAAGCAGCAAGTCCTGACCGGCTCCGGCTGCATCATTAAGGACGTGCACCTGGCCTGCCTGGAGGTGAGGCCCCTTCCTGCTGCCTCCCTGTGGCCAGGGGAGTGGGAGGAGGTCGGGAGGGGGCTGCTGGCATCCGGATAGGGGCCCATCCACGGTGTCCCAGTCACCAGCGGGAAGCAGCAGGGCTGGTCCCCTGTGACCCTTAAGTTCTTAAAGGAACTTTTCTTCAGCTGAGACCTGCTGAAAAATTCACTGAATTATGGAATTTTAGTAGTTTCTCTTACAATTATTTGCTTCTGTATTTGTCCCTCGGATTTTTTAATTTTTCTTTTGTATTACAAAAGTTTTATACATACACAATCATACACACATTTATTTATGTTTTTTTTTTTTTTTTTTTTGAGACAGAGTCTCACTTTGTTGCCCAGGCTAGAGTGAGTGCCGTGGCGTCAGCCTGGCTCACAGCAACCTCAATCTCCTGGGCTCAGCGATCCTACTGCCTCAGCCTCCCGAGTAGCTGGGACTATAGGCATGCGCCACCATGCCCGGCTAATTTTTTGTATATATATATATTAGTTGGTCAATTAATTTCTTTCTATTTTTGGTAGAGACGGGGTCTCGCTCCGGCTGGTTTCGAACTCCTGACCTTGAGCGATCCGCCCGCCTCGGCCTCCCAAAGTGCTAGGATTACAGGCGTGAGCCACCGCGCCCGGCCAATTTATGTTTTTTTTGTACTAAAGTATATGCTCATCAAGTTTTCAGTAGCTTTTATGGCCTCCCATTTATTTTCCATGTTTATTTTAGAAAATTTAGGAAGTACAAGAGGGAATAAGTGACAACCAGAGTTGACACATGGGTGTGTGTCTGTGCAGACACATTCACACTCACATACATACACATGCACAGTTACAGATGAGTTTTTTGTCTTATAAAAATGGAGTCATAATGGCCGTAGTTTATATCCCATTTCCCCACACTTAACTATATGTTAACAGTTTTCCACATCATTACACTGCAATGCCTTGCTTTCCCTATCTTCGTTTTGAGCTCTGTTTCCCTCCCTCCCTCTTATTAAGGCCCATTTTATACAGGGAGGATATTAGCCCAGCGTCTCTTTTATATACATGCAGACTTTGGAATTCTTAGTTTGCCCAACTCACTCACCTCCAGGAGACCTGCCTCCTTCACGCCATCCTTCTCTTTTAACAGGGCGCGAGAGAAGAAAGCGTTCACCTCGTTCGACATTTTTATAAGGTAATTGGCAAAGCACTGGTGGTGTGGTGTGTTAATTTATACATAAATTATGAATTATATGCATATATGAATTATATGCATATGACTAAATTATACATGATGAACTTATATTCTTGAATTATATATGTTTATACATATAAAATTACTTGTGAATTACCAATGACTATGATTTATATACATGCATATTATTTATCTGTGTATATACTAAGAAATCTCATACAGGCTTCTAAACTTGTATTAAGTTTAGTGAGATTTCGTAATATACTGCCATGACTTTGAATATCTGAGACATTTGTAGAGCTTTGTCTTTGGGTTCCAGATGGTTAGTTTTAGAATATCTAATTATGATGGTTTTGTTTGCCTCTTATCTTAAGGCATATGTTTTAGTCCATTTGGGCCGCTATAACAAGATACCTTAAACTGCGTAGTTTGTGAACAGTAGAAATTTATTGTTCACAATTCTAGAGCCTAGGAAGTTCAAGATCGAGGCAGATTTGGTGTCCAATGAGGGCCTGCTTTCCTGTGGATGGTGCCTGCTTGTTGTATCCTCACATGGTGGGAGAGGCAAGCAGTCCCTCAGGGGCCTCTTTATAAGGCCACTAATCCCATTCATGAGGGCTCCACCCTCATGGCCTAATCACCTCTGAAAGGCACCTCCTTCTAATACCACCGCCTTAGCGGGTGGGATTTCAACATATGAATTTGGAAGGATACAAACATTCTGCCCATACGAGCATAATACATCCTTAGGCAAGGCTCATCCCTTGTTAGCTATGGTGGACTAATCCATATGTCAAATAGTCCTTGTAGCTTTCTAAGTTTTTGGCCTCCCTATTAGATCTCTCCGGATCCTGTTAGTGATGGTTTCACCTCTTAATGTGGCTGATGATGATCTGCCTAGGAGGGGAGAGGTGTCAGCAGTGCCATTTTCTTGTTGTTTACTGGTGCTTTTGTTATTTGTGCTTTCTTTAAAGTGCTGTTTCTTTGCAGGAATCTTTTTAAGCCACTATCCATTATTTTCAGTGTGTGGTGAGATAAAACAAGGTCAGATAATCCAGAAATCCACCTCTCCAGGCCAGATGACCCCCTCCAGCTGCAGCAGTGGACATGCCCAGACAAGGGTGGCACCACTGTGGCCCCAACACACCGAAGAGGAAATGCCAGTTTCCACTTAGACGTCCCAGACCACGCTTGGCCTCTGAGTGCGGCCATGCCCCTCTAGCAAAGCCCCAGAGAAGGCAGAAACCTCACAGTTCCGTCAGTCACCTTTGAATCCCGTTCCAGTATAACTGCTCTAAAAAGCTTTTAGGGGCCCTAGAAAGCTTTCAGATTGTAAAAACAGAAAGATGCATAAGTAGGCATTTTCTCAGAGGGTTATTCTTTTTTATTAACAAAAGGAGAGTTATATTTGAATTTCAGCTTCCTCCTTCCCACCCAGATTTTTCTCTCTTGCTTTAATGCTATTATGTTTATACTAGCCTAAGTATTAAATATGTTTCAGAAGCTGTTGGATATTTTCAGGGATTGCCATTTCTTTTGGTGGTACTAACACCACACAAGTACATTGAAGTTTATCTGTAGTTCTGACAACTGGAAAAACATAAAAAGGATCTGTTCCCTTTCCCACCCCGTGCGTGTGCGTGTGCGTGTGCGTGTATGTGTGTGTGCGTGTGCGTGTGCGTGTGTGTGTGTGTGTGTGTGTGTGTGTGTGTGTGTGTGGTTCAGGACCCTTGAGGGAGACAGGAGAGCTGTAACAGACACTGTTGTAATGACAATGAGTGGGAACATTTACCCAGCCAGACTCAGGGCCAGGCTCTGTGGTCCATGTTTTATGTGCCTTGAGACTCACGTCACCTCCACAGTGACCCACACAGACAGGGGCTGCCGTCCCATTCTTGCAGCGGAACAAAGCGGCTTCAGAGGGAAAGCTGGGATTTGGCTCCTAGTTGACATGTCTCAGAGCCACATTCTCACCCTGTTGCGAAGGGGGCTTCCTGGACAGCCATGACCCTAAGGAACTCTAGAGCCCCAAAGGCCCTCTTTGAGAAACAGATGGTTCCCGATTTTTTGGTTTTGGGGCTCTGGTACGGCCTGAGCTGTTGATCCTATGCCGAGATGCTTCCGAGCTTTGTTAGAAACGTGTGGATCCCCCTGAAGCCCTGCCGTACCCAGGGTTACCGAGAGATTTGGGTAGGAATGGGGTTGATGGTCACCATTGTTTATAAAATCAGGAGTGCCGATAAAAGAAGTAAAGCTTTGAGACTACTGCGCCTGCTCACGTCACCACTAAATAGCCTTACTCAGAGTACACAAGAGAGGAGACATCAGCCTGTCTGTAAATGTAAGCCAGCTCTGTTACATGGGAGCGTGGAAGGCCACTGTACACTTGTATAAGTGCGGTTTGCTTCATGGCATGAATAATACATCTGTGACTTGCACACACACACACACACACACACACACACAAAACCCAAATGGAACAAGCCATAGAATTTTAGTGTTAAGTTTATTTAATTATATTCTTCCTTTCAGAGGAGTGGAACCTCATATTTTTTTAACATGGCAACTTAACCAGGACTTTCCATTTCTCCAACCATTCTCCATGAATAGATGATGCTAAACACTTGAAATATTAACTTTTCCTATATTTTAAGTATATATACTGTTATTTTCGTTGTTTTTTTTTAACTAACTGCTTTGACAGAGGAACTGTAACTCCGTATGCATGAAAAAGAAGGAGGAAAGTGTTGAGTAGTGCAATTTGATATTTGGTCTGTCATTTGAGCGTGTGTGTTCGTGTTCACGTGTGTATTTTACTTCCTGGTGATTTACGAGAACTCACTAATGAGAAACAGATGGCCTCAAAAGCCGCGAACTGGAGTTTATAATACTCTGTTGTTTATGGAAAAAAATATGAATAATCTTCTCTTCCCTCCCTTTCTTTTTAGGGAGAAGAAATCTTTCTGGACATGTTTGAAGACGAGTACAGGAGCATGACAGTAAGTGAGCGTCAGGACGCACTTGAGCTGGCACGCACCTATGCCCCTGACGTGGGGCCTCTGACCAGATGGCAAAGACTGATGGGGAAGTAAATTTAAAATGTGCCTTTTGATTTTCAGATTATAGTCCCGCCCCCGAAACTGAGCCACCTCAGTAACATGAGTCAGAAAGATTCACTTGGATATGCGTAGTATTCGAGGGTGTCTCTTTTATTAGGAACTTATTCCACGCCAGGTGGGCACAGCACGTTGCATATATGAAGTCTCTTCCTCCTCACATCAGCCAGTGGGAGCTGTTGTTCTCTGTCATTGTCCCCATTTTGCCAATGAGGAAAGTGAGAGTCAGAGGGGTTGAGTGGTGTCCCCAAACCTGCCTGGCCAGTGAGTGGCAGAGCCAGGCTTCCAAAGCAGAGCAGTCCCCTGTACTTCTCCAGATGTCATGCCGCTGCTGCCGTCTCTTCGCCGCTTCACCGGAACGTTCCTACAGGGGGCTCGTCCCCAAATCCGCAGCCCCCGCGCAGGGGCTGTGCTTCCCTCCAGCAGGCAGATGCGTGGGGAGCGACAGCCCTCTCTGTCTCCACGTCCCCAGCACCTGCCTGTGACTAGGTCTTCCATACATAGGTGACAAATGACTCTTTTCGTGGATATCACCCACCAAAGCATGAAGTGACTCGGGAAGTTTCCAGTACACCTAAGTGTTTAAAGTGCCAAAAAGAAGGCAGGTAGTGTGTGCTACGTGGCTCTCAGGCTTCTAACCCTTTCCCGGGTATGTGGGCAGCGGGTCCCTCGCCACATCCTCGATCATGGCATGTCTGAGGCCCCGTAGAGGCTTTTCAAGGGAAAAGTGTAAACTGGCATAATTGTGCTCCAGAAATGCCCCGCAGCACCCAGTGCCCAGGCCCGTGTAAACTGGCATAATTGTGCTCCAGAAATGCCCCGCAGCACCCAGTGCCCAGGCCCGTGTGTGGTGCGTGGGCGCCCCCGCCCCTCGCCCTGCTGAAGTCCACACCCCTGCCCCTGAGAGAGGGCGCCCCCCGCCCTGCTGAGGTCCACACCCCTGCCCCTGAGAGAGGGCGCCCCCCGCCCCTCGCCCTGCTGAGGTCCACACCCCTGCCCCTGAGAGAGGGCGCCCCTCGCCCCTCGCCCTGCTGAGGTCCACACCCCTGCCCCTGAGAGAGGGCGCAGTCTTCTACTCTTTGACCATTAATTGAAGTGGAGGGGTGCAGTGGTCATTCACCGTTCCCCCCGTGCTGTGCCCTTGTGCGGCGTAACTGTCCACGGTGTGGTTTCCTGTTTGGGAACGGAAGGCTCCCCCCCCCGCCCCTGGATGATGTGGAAAAACTCGGGCTCTTAAACCCCTGCGCAGCGTCTGCTTTTGTGCTTGCTATGCAACCTTGGGCGCGTGGCTTCAGTTCTGAGCCTTGATGTTTTTCCCACCTGTAAGATGGGCCCGTACCAAGGCGCTGCCTGGGCTGGATGTGACCGCCCAGCAGGGTGCCTTGCGGAGAGTCCTCGTGCCACAAGCATCCACTTCCTCTGCCTCCACGCCAGGGAGCTTCCTGGGTTTTGTTTCTTTGTGTTAATGGGATGTTTATTGTGTGTGCTGCACAATGCCAGGCATTCTAGAGAAATGCAAACGGGACACACCCCTGGCCCTGTGTCTGCAAGTCCGGCCTCAGCTCAGCCTCCACTCAGGAAACCGGCCTGAGGGGAATGAGGTGGGGACAGGCCCCGTGTGCTACTGAGTGGAGGCCACTGCACTAGAGGCAGGCTGTGACTTGCCATCCTTCCCCCATTTCCCTCACTGCCCTGGTTTAATGCAAAAGGAGTGACCAGCTGGCCGTCCAGCTCTGCCCTCGGGAGGCTCGAGGGGGCTCCCCGGGACGGCCAGCGGTCAGCTGTGGAGAAAGTGCGAGGAGCCGCGAGTGGGCAGGGGCAGGCCGGGAGGGGTTGCTGGCCACTGATGTCAGCGGAACATGCTCTGCTGCCCAGCTGGGGTGAAGGGATTTGGTGGGGGGGGGGTGGAATCTCAGGCTTCTGGAAGGTTCTTCTTTATAGAAGAACCTTTATAGAAGAATAGAAAAGGCAGGCAGCATGCACTGAGTGTCTCCTTGGCCCCCAGCCTGTCCACCGTGTGTCTTAGTCCTTTTTGTGCTGCTCTGACAGAATGCCACAGACTGGGTAACCTTTAAAGAAACTAAAATTTTCTTACATTAATACTTCTGGAGACTGGGAAGTCTAATATCAAGGTACCAGCATCTGGCGAGGGCCCTCTTGCTACACCAGCCCGTGGCGGAAGGTGAAAGGGCAAGAGACGTCAGAGGGGGCCAAACTCGCACAAACCCGCTCTCGAAATAACGAGCCTGTTCCAGCAGCAGCGTTCTCCCATTCGTGAAGGCAGAGCCCTCCGGGCTCGTCACCTCTTGTTGGCCCTACCTCTTGACACTGTTGCCCTGGGGATTACGTTTCCAACACACGAGCTTCGGGAGACACAGTCAAGCCACAGCACTGAGTGCACGGCTGGCCTCGCCTCATCCTTGCCCTATTTAGTCAGCTGTATGCAGCAGGAAGGGGTGTGGGGAACATCATGTTGGAATCCCACCTCCTGAAAAGAGAAGACAGAAAGAAAGCATGTGATGTTTAAAAGAGTAAAATTAATTCTGTGGAAAACTTAACTTTGTGTCACGGCACTCCTTTGTGGTGCCAGGCAAATGAAGTGTTAGTGTTCAACAGCACGTGTGCATTCCATGGTCAGTGCTGATGCAGTGGAGTCCGGGAGGGGATGGGGGTGGTGCTGTCACCCTGTGTCTTAGTAGTCCAAGAAGGCTTCATGGAGGTGGTGTGGAAGGAGGCCAACAGCTCTGCCCCTGGTCCTCCTCTGAGCTCAGTGTGCCCCGCTGTGATACGGGCACCAGCTCCTGCCACCAGCAGGAGGCGAGCGCAGCGGGGGCCTGGCACTTAGTAGGTGCCCCGTAATGACTCTGTTCTGTTGTCCCAGGTGAGGTGTGAAGTGGACAGGGAAGGAAGGGAGAGCATTAGTCCTGGGGTGGGAATCCCAGGGCCCTGGAGCAGAGCAGGCCTGGGCTCTAGGCAGCTGAGTGACCCCAGGTCCATTCCTCCGCGTCTCCGAGACTCCGTCTCTCATCAGCACAGTGGGAAACATCCCCTCTAAAGCCTTTAGGTCACAGGCTGCCCGTGGTCAGCTCTCCCTGGGCAGAAGCTGTCATCACCGCAGCTGTTGTCATCATTCCTGGAAGGACCAAGGGAAGGAGGCTCACGCCCATGGGAATAAGCCCGCCTCAGGGGACCTGCCTCCTTCGTGGGAACCCTGTCCTGCTGGCTGGAGGGGAGGGCGACAGCAGAGGTTCCATAGTGAGGAAGCAGCTGCTCAAGAGCCTCTGGGCTGTTGCTTCAATTAAAGGAAAATGTGTAGCTGAGAAATCACGGCATGTTGCTCACCTCCCTGGCTGCCTTCAGGCTCTGCCTCAGTCTGCACCCGGGGTTGACATGCCTTGTTTCCTACGCGCAAGTGAAGGCCAGAGGCCTGTGTAACCCGCCCCAGCCCCTTCCTCCCCCAAGGTGAGGGACCTGCTTTGAGGTTTCCTGTGATGTCTCTTGTAGATGAAGCCCATGAATGTGGAATATCTCATGATGGACGCCTCCATCCTGCTTCCTCCAACAGGCACGCCGCTAACGGGCATTGACTTTGTGAAGCGGCTGCCATGTGGCGACGTGGAGAAGACCCGGCGGGTGAGTGAGCGCTGGACCCGTCCCCTCCTGAGCAGCCCTTCACCAGAACTGCTCCCAGGCCAGGGAGCCCAGGGTGTCTGGGTCAAAGTCAAGAGCCTGCCTCAGACCCAGCTTAGATAGCAGGTGGAGACCACCTGTCCACGCCTGCTTCCAGGTGTGACTTTCCAAGACACGTTGCCCTTTGAACAGTGAGGATTGGAATTCTACCACATGTAGCTCCGGGTGTCGGCTGCAGGAAGGTTGTCTGACCCGGTGCAGAGCACAGCCCCGGGGCCCCGAGCTCAGGGAGTGGAATCAGGAGGCTGGGCTTCTGTGAACCGTGGTCAGGGGAGGGGGGTGGGGGGAGAGTACAGTATATCCAGTGCAGATGAGGCTGGGGTGAAATCTTAGCCCAGAGATCTCAGGACCCCCAGAGATGGTGTGATGTTAAGGTATCTGGCTGATCTTGGGGCTAGGCACAGGCAAACGAAAGGTGATTCTCGCGGGGCTGCGGGAGAGACGTGTGGGGAGCAGATTAGTTCTCAGAAACAGCTGGAGCATGTGCTTCCGTTATCAGCATTTTTTTTCTGAAGCGGGTGCTCTAGGAAGCAGTCTCGGCCAGGCTGTTCATGGTATTTTATCTCCCACGTAAGATCACAGTTTCTTTCTTAGAAAGCACCATAACCTTTTCCTAGAAAATCATTCCCAGGAGACATGAACATTAGTGGATAATTTAGAGGAATTCATTGCACGCTGCGGTTATCAGCCTTCTGAGTCTTCTGAGTTAATCCTCATGTGACCAGAGCAGCAGAGGTGTTTCACTTTTGGATTTTGCAAAGCAGGAGGGACCTGCTGCGTGCACCTTAGACAGGAGAAGTCTGCGACCTTCCTCCAGCAGCCCTCGAGTTTGCCTCAGAGGCCTGGGGGTGCAGAGGAAGTGGGAGCCGTGTGTCTCGAGCCAATCACATTCCCAGCTGTCCGACCAAACCCACAAACCTCACCACAGGACCCACCCTGTCCGAGCCACCGACGCCTTCCTCCCATTGCTCTCGGCCAGCGCTGCAGCCCTGCTGGCCAGGCGCAGATTTTGTCTGTGGGTGGCCGTGTTTGCACTGGGTGTCCTTGGCATCAGCTTTCACTGGAGGAATGGTTCTGACAAATGCGTATTGTGCCGGCAGCTCCTCAGCACTGACACGTTCACCGTTAGCCTTTGGGCGACCTAAGAAATGTCACCCAGGCAGAGACATAGCGTCCCCATACCAAGAGCGCCCTGCCTTAGAGGGCCCTCTGCCCCCCGAGCCACAAGGGCCAGAGACCTGAATGCTGATGCTGTGGCTCTGGGCTGCACTTTGCCTTCTTTGGGTCCACGGTTCATCGGGGTTTTTCTTACTACTTTTGCGAACACGTAGCCTTTGTTATGAAGTGGATCATTCATATGGGTTTTTTAAGTGGATTTCCTCATTTAATTCTATAACCACTCTAGGAGGTTGGCACTATCATTGTCCCCATTTTACAGAGGAAGAAATTGAGGCCCAAAGAGGTCAAGCATATAGGGGCGGGGAACCTGCGGCCTTGTGGCCACATGTGGCCTTCTAGATCCTTGAGTGTGGCCTTTTGACTGAATCCCAATTTTACAGAACAAATCCTTTGATTAAAAAGGGTACAGCAGAGAAAGGTGAAGCTTTTCTTGCCTCCTTTGGTGCTTAAAAAAGAACAGCCTTGGAATCAGAAGGCCACAGCTTCCACACTCTGACCCCACTGCTTCCCGCTGTTGCCTTCGTCATATTCATTAGCCCTACTCAGGCTGGACATGGGGACATCGAAACACAGCCCCAGTCCTCAAGGAATCACGCTCTGGAGGGCAGGGTGGGAAAAGGCAGCGGCAGGCCGCGTGGCCAGGCCGTCACTCAAGCAGCATTAGGTTAGGATTCCTACTCCCACCTGGGAAGGGAGGTGGGATAAGCAGCAGAGGGGACGGTCCCTAAGCTGAGACTGCAGGAGCGGGCTGGCCAGCTGGAGGAGGCACAGGCCCGGAGGCATGTGGCACATTCTGGCACCTCCAAGGAGGTAACCACAGCCAGGACCCAGTGTGGGCTGTGATGAGGCCGGAGGGTCTGGCAGGAGCCAGATCACCGGGGCCTTGCAGCTCAGTGAGGACCTTAACCATCAACTCTTAACACTGTTTCATGACATGGTGCCCGCTGGGTTAGAGCAGATGGTCCTGATCCACAGGACCATCTGAGAAATGAGAGACAGGTGGGGGTGAGACTATTGGGCATGTGGCACTTGTCCACTCTGAGCCACCATCTCCTCATCTGTCAAGTGGATTACTCTTACCTTTTCAGAGTTAACTAAGGACTCAGCAGGAGGCCTAACCACAAAAGGCTGATAGTAGGTCCTTGATGACAGTTGTCTCTTCCTCCCTTTGCCCCTCACAGCTCCTGCAGGTGGGTTCCCAGGGCTGTGCTGCCTGCCTCCCCTGCCCCGGCTGCATGCACAGCCCAAGTGGCTACTGGAGTACAAACAGAGCCCTTGGAACATCTGGACTTCCCTGGGGTTTCTTACTAGGCCTTTGAGTGTCTGATCAGTTTATAGAAGTAACTCTCAAATTCCAGGGTTCCTGTGCAGAGTGGTAGAAAACAAGGCAGGCCACCTCAAAACAAAGTCATCTACTTTACAAAAGCTTCATTTTGTGACTGTTAGGAATTGATTTCTGAAGCCCCCCTTTTGGCCATTCACCCTAGGCCAGTTCCTGTTGCAAGGCAACTGTCTAGAATCATCTAGAAGTTTCACTCCTTAAGCCGAGTTCAGAAATCAGAGCACAGCAGTGTGCTTTGATTTGAGCTAAAGGAAGTTATATGGTTTAGCAAGTAATTGAAGGCTTATGTGGTTTATTTCAAGTTTTTTGCTTGTATCCAAAGAACATTCCATTTTATTCCTTTGGATTCAAAGGTTTTCTTTCTTTCCTTCCCTCCCCACCCCCCACACCAAGTAGACTTTTTTAACTTTTAGGAGGCCAGTACTTTTGAGAAATCCCACCCTTTATTTTCCTTAAGGACTTGTCAAAGAAGTTCAAACAATCCTTCCTGGTAAATCATTCTTTAGAACATACACGTTCATACATATGAAGGAGCTGCTGGATCCCTGCTCTGTGCAAATGCTGTGCTGGGCCTGGGGGTGCAGGAGTGACCAGGGTGCATGTCCCTGCTTCCTGGACCCCCACCCCTTCTCTACGTAGAGAGGTAAAGTTTATTAGCAAGTAAGGGAGTAACAGGTTTGAAATCAGGCTGCAGTCAAGACTCTGGAGGAAAGAAATGACGTGCTGTGGCCAGGGCTTGGTGGGGTTGTGGGGGAGGGAAGGTCCTCCCTAGACAAGGGATCAGTCAGAGCTACTCTGCAGAGGGGACATCTGAGCTGAAACCTGGAGGATGAGAAGGAGCCAGAAAAGTTAAAGAGTTAAAGGAGGCACTTTCCAGATGGCAAACAGCATGTACCAACGCCCCGAGGGGCCACACAGTGTGGTACGTTCATGGAGCAGAGCGAGGGAAGGGGAGGAGGGTCTGGGGCAGGGGAGAAGGGTGGCAGCGCTTTGCAGGCTATGGGGAGGGGAAGTCACTTCTCCTCTTGCACTGTGCAAAGTATGCCATTTATTCTTTCGTTTGACATATTTATTGAGCATTTTCTAAGTGCCAAGCACTGTGCAAGGTGAAGGATAGAGCAGTGAACAAATAATAGAAAATGAAAGCAAAATATCAAGGGTGCCGCTGAGCCATGCCAGCCAAGAAAGGAGGTTCATGTTGAAATGAAGGCCACTGGAGCTATGGGGTCCAATGAGAACCTTCAAGCAGAACTCTGGACTTGAGCTGGACCCTCCCCACGTGTAGGTGCAGTTGGGAGAAGTGGTAAAGAAAGAACACGGGCTCATGAGTCAGACCAACCACAGGCCAAATCCCAACCTAGTTGTGTGACCTTGAGCAAGTTACTTCACCTCCTTGAGCCTCGGGTTCCTTGTCCTACCTCTCAGCTGTTGCCCAAAGTAGATGGGAGAGCAGCTGTGAAGTGACAAGCCCAGTGCTGATAGTAAGTGCTCAGGAAGTGTTGGCTGAATAGTGATGGAGCATTCTAGCATCTTAAGTGGGAAAGAAATAGTGGGTCTCTTTTTTGAGACAGGGTCTCACTCTGTTGCCCGGACTAATGTGCAGTGGTGTCATCATAGCTCACTGCAACCTAAAGCTCCTAGGCTCAAGCAATCCTCCTGCCTCAGCCTTACAGTAGCTGGGACTACAGGCGCATACCACCACACCCGGCTCATTTTTCTATTTTTAGTAGAGAAGAAGTCTAACTCTTGCTCAGACTGGTCTCAAACTCCTGGCCTCAAGTAATTCGTCCACATTGGCCTCCCAGAGTGCTAAGGCATGAACCACCATGTCTGGCCAGAAATAGGGTCTTTAATGATCTAAATCTACTCAAGTTTAATGCTAGAGAGAAAAGAGTTAGGGATAGCATTTTTTGGTAAATATCACAATCCAAATTTAAGCCACTAGCCATCTTTATATAGTAATCTCGGAAGACATTATGAAATAAGTGTATCTGTACGAGGTTTTATGTGTCCCTGCATTCTGTTTCCCTGTTCCCTTGTAAAACCACAACCAGTTTGTGTGTTTATTGCAATTGACCTTGAGGAAATAGGATATTTTGCTTTATTTTTTGAATGTGTATTACACATTACAGAAAATACAATAACATCTCATAAAATTTCAGAAGTAAGGGGAAAAGAATTTCCCATGATTTCATCACCCTAGACAAACAACACTGAGACATCTTTTGTGTCTCTTCCCTATCCTGGTTTGCAAACACATCTTTTCATGGTTGCAAAGAGTGTACTGTGGTCTCGCTTTCATCCCTCCTCCTTTTTTTCTCTTTTCATTGTAGCACAAGAAGTTTTTTATGTTGTGATGTAGTTTTAATAAGTCTGATTTCTTATGGCTGCAAAAAGGTTTATCTGGCATTTTCCTGCTAGTAGACATTTTGGTTGCTTGCAACATTACATTATTTTCAACTAAACTATAATGAGCAGCTTCATGAATACAGTGTTTTCTTTCTTTTGAATTATTTCTTTAGGATAAGTTCCCAGAAGCGGAATTTCTGGTTCAAAGGGTATGAACGCTTTTTTGTGTGTGTGACTCTCTACTCATTGCCAAATTGCTTTCCCGGTGGGTTGTGCCCCTGTTAATCTGCTTCAGCCCTCTTTTAAGAATGACTGACTTTCATAGCCATTTCTGTGGTCTTGGTGGACTTCTAACCTGAGTGACTGTCGCCTAAACTGAGCTTGCAAATGTGGCAAGGAAGCAGGAGGTTGTCCCAGGGCCAGCCCAAGGCTCAGGGCATCACCTGTGCCATCTTATTGCACCTGCATGGTGGGTACCCTGTGGGCACCCCATTTCCGAAGCACAAGCTTAGGCTTGAGGAATTCACGTACTCACCTGCGCCCCAGCTGAGCCGCAGTCTGTCTGACTGCAGAGCCCTCCTCCTGCTCTACCCATTGGACTAATTCTCGGGGGACATTGAGTTTGCTCCCAGACGCATTGAAGCAAAGACACTGGAGAAATCTGTTTATATTTGAGCTTGGTGAGCTCTCACACAGTTCAAAATCTAATCTGTCCTTCCAGGGTCCGTCTTCCCGATGTTCTGTGGAAGATTCTGAAAGAATAATAATTTCTTTTTCCTTTGTAGTAATACTTTTACATTTGCATCTTCATTTAACAAAGAAAAGAAAACCATTTTATAAAACCCTGGATCCCAAGCCTTAAATCTTTTAAAGGTTCAAGGCATGTGATTAGAAGAGCAGTTTGGAATCCAGATACTCATTACCCATGACCTTGGGCAGGCTGCCTGTGTCCCAGGGCTTTGGTTTCCCCATCTGTAAAGTGGGAACCTCACAGGCTCATTACGAGGTCTGAGTGAGATGACACTGTAGCCGGCAGGCCATGGGCGATCAGAGGGAGTGGTCATTGTTTTGGCAGGTGATGGGATGAATTTTATGACTCTTATCCTTGTATTTTAGCTTTCTTTTGTGGATTCATGGAGTTGTGGGGCTGGTGAACGTGCCTGCCAGACTATTATAGCCCCTGGTGGGAGCCCAGCTTTCGCCCAAGTGGAGCACCTTGCCCTGTGGGAATTGGCCTCTTGTGTGCTCTTTCTTCTCTTAGGAGATGGAGCAGGAGCCAGGGAAAGTCTTGCAGGATTTTATTATACACTCGTTCCCCCATATCTGTGCGGGATTGGTTCTAGAACCCTTCAAGGATACCAAAATCCACAGGTATTTGGGTCTCTTATATAATGTGGCATGGTATTTATATAGAACCTACACACATCCTCCCTTATACCTTAAGTCCTCCCTAGGTTACTTTTAATACCTAATACACTGCAAGTGCTACCGAGTAGTTGTTACACTGTATCGTTTAGGGAATAATGACCAGAAAGAAAGTCTGTACATGTTTAGTATAGACATAGCCATTCTTTTTTCTTTTAAGTATTTTCAATCTGAGGTTGGTTGAATCCACGGACATGGAACACGTGGATGCAGAGTGCTGGCTGTATATGTTTTATATTTATACTTTTTTTGTATCCATTTATTGTTTGCAGAGCAAAAGCAGATGTTTTACCAAAAAGGCCTATATTAGGAGCCCAGTTCTGAACTCCTTTTTTCATTTATTGCCGGGTTTCAGGTCTTCAGAGTGACAGGCCGTAGAAAGCCACACACGTTTCCATTTTCTCACCCACCGGCTTTGGTCCTGCTCGAGTTCTTTGCCTGCAGAGCCCCACGAGGAGTGGGGGTTTTGACGCAGAAATGAAGCATCCCTTCGACTTGGACCTGACCGGGATGGGGCCTTTTTCTTTTCTTTCTGTCATCCCTGAGGTCATGACTTCTTATTTGAGAGCTCAAACTGCCAAATATTTCAAGTGCCCACCCACATTTTGGGCTTCCTGCACTTGGGCTGGCACAGGTGTTTAAATTTCCTGGTGCACTTGGTTGAGTGACACAAGTATCAGACATCCCTGAGCTCAAACCCCAGCTCAGCCACTTTGCAGCTGTGTGGACTGAGATTGTCCTGCCCCTTCTGCTCCGTTTCTTCCTCCATGAAATCTTAAAGTTACGATGAGGTGCCCACAGTTCCTGTCACACAATAGGTGCTTAATAAACAGAAGCTCTTTTGGCTTTTTAAAATGGAACTACACCTCTTTTTCTTATAGTTAGAGATGTCTTTATTTTTAAAAACTGTTAAAAACAATCAGAGCCAGGTATGGGTGGCTTACACCTGTAATTCAAACACCTTGAGAGGATCACTTGAGGCCAGGAGTTCAAGACCAGCCTGGGCAGCATATCGAGACCCTGTCTGTATAAAAAATTAAAAAATTAGTCAGGTGTGGTGGTACACACTTATAGTCCCACCTACTTGGGAGGCTGAAGTAGGAGGATCAGTTGAGCCTAGAAATTAGAGGCTGCAGTGAGGTTTTATGATGTCACTGCACTCTAGCCTGGGTGACAGAGCATCTCTTAAAAAAAAAAGAAATCAGATATTAATGCTGCTACTACCAGCACCATCATCCTATTATCTCCATGATTATCATATAAAAAGCTTGTCTCTCTCTGGTGCTTTATAGTTTACAAAGAGGACTCCATTACCCAGAATAGGCCCAGGAGGTAGGATCGCTCCTCCAGTTTCTACAGCGGGAGATGGGGCCAAGGCGGGGGCAGGGCTCAGGAGTGCTTGTCAGCATCCCGTTCCCTGCATGGAGGGAGGAGCAGCTCTTTACCGCAGCAGCTTGTCCCCTTTCCTGGTTGGGGAGGCGCCTGCTGTCTAAAGGACCCCTCCCCTCATGTGGGCCTGGACTGGAGCCCTCAAAGCTGTAAACAAGAAGCCCTGAAAGTGCGCTGGAGTTCACCTGTGCTCGGCTCACCAGTGGTGACAGTGGTCTGTGCCCAGCGTGGTGGAGCACAGTGCCGGCTGCTTCCCTGCAGCGTTATCACAGAACCTCCTAGCTGCCCTGAGGGGGAGGCATCATCGTGCCCACTTCACAGATGGGGAAAGGGAAGCTCACGGGAGTTAGGGGCTCGCCCAGTGCAGCAGAGCTAGGGATCTGGTGCAGACCACGTCCAGCTGACCCTGGCGCCATTTTCCCCAGGCACTCCCCACTCAGGCCCGTCAGCTGCGCAGCGGGGAGGGTGGCCTGGAAGTACCCTCTCACAGAACTGCCCTCTGCTTCCTGCTCTGCTTGGTCGGCAGGCCTGCTCGGGGGCCGAAGGCTGCATTCCGCACACACTTCTCTGGCTGCTGGGGAATCTGCTTTTCTTCTGTTCTCTGGAAAGGCCCGATGGTCACATGATTCTGACACCTGTTCCATGGGCCAGGAACCCCTGTTCTGACAGAGCCACCTCTGTCCCGGTCTGCTGGCTGGGAAAGCCTAAGGGGCGTTCAGGGAACTGAGGTCACTGCCACCTGCCAGGTGCCAGGCCTCTGCCCTGTCAGCAGCACACTCCTGTCATAAGGCCATGGGGCTGAGGGGTGCTGAAATTCACCCAGAGGTAGGATTTTCATCGGGTCTGTCCGGCTCTGAAGCCCACAGGCATCTCACCCTGTTCTGTGTATCCTCCCCCACCCCTACATTCAAGGACCTTGAAACACTCTAACTAGTGATTTGGATTTCCAAAGTCCATGCTGGTTTACTTGGAACAGACCTGGGTTCTTGCCCTCCTGGGAAACATGGCCTTGGGCAGGCCACTTCACCTGTTTAGGTCTCTATTGCCTGGTCTGTGAAATGGGGCTGATTACTGGGCAAGGGTGTTATGAAGGTCCCCTGACATTTGGGGACAAGATCCTGGCAGATGACAGGTGCTCAGATTGGATAATGTGACCCAAACTTGAACCTGTGGATAACTGAAAATAGGCTGTTCCCCTTTGGTTTTTTGTCTCCCTTTAAAAGCACCAGAACCCCAGTACTATTATAGAAGAGGTAGCATGGTTGTGTTTGTGTCTTTATTTGAAATCGAGAGTCATTGTGTAATTTCTTGATGTGGAACGTCTCACTGAAACGACTCTGCAATTTCACTCTTCTCTGCTCTCCGACTGCTGGTCTAGGCCATCCGGGTGTTCTTCATGTTGCGTTCCCTGTCGCTGCAGCTGCGAGGGGAGCCCGAGACCCAGTTGCCACTTACTCGGGAGGAGGACCTGATCAAAACCGATGACGTCTTGGATCTGAGTGAGTTGGCCGCCCTGAGTCACAGCAGGGGGCCGGGGACACAGGGCAGTGGTCTGCTGACTCACACACCACTGGGAGGGTGGGTGCTCGATGTGTGTTTTGTGTCACCATTGATCTGTGACCGTGAGCTGACAATGTGCATGTTCCATGAAAAGCGCCCCAGATTCTAGACACCTGCAGGTCAGTCTGAGGGTTCTGCTTTCTGGAGACCAGGTAGTTTGCTGAAAGGCCTGCATAGGGTGACTGGGGGCTCAGCAGGGGTGGGGACAGCTCCAGGGTGCCTGCCCTCCACCCGCTTGATTTGTTTTTTGTATGTTAAGGGGTTTTTGTATGATTCCAATAATAAGAGGATTCTGCTGCTTAAGAAAGAAGCTTGCAAAAAACAAATCACCAGTGTTTAGGTAAGGATGAAGGCTTCGGAGGCCAGAGACCCATGTGCTCAGAGTGTATCTTTGGGCTAGCTGTTTAACCACAACCACGCGATGCCTCAGCGTTCTCATCTGTAACACGAGACTGAGATTTAAAGGAGACAGTGGGTATAAAGCCTGATCATGTTCCCAAAACCCTTCTCATATTTATGTAGCTTCCTCTTTCCTCTCTTTACTATGGGGCATGTGCCTTCTTAAAGGCATTGTGGTATATTAGGAGTCTTGGTTATAAGAGACAGAAAACCCAACTTAAGCATTTAAGGAAAAGAAAAGAAAAGGGAATTGGCTGATGTCACTGGAAAGTCTGGGAGTAGTCTGCCTTCAGACATGGCTGGATCTGGGCACTCCGTGCCATTGGGAAGCTGCCCCTCTCCATCTCTCAGCTCTGCTTTCCTCCATGTCCACTTTATCCCAAGGAGGGCCCCCACCAGGGGCCCTGGTGAAGCGAGATGGCCATCAGTAGCCCTAGTGTATACTGACCCAGCTAAGCATCCCTGAGAGAAAGAGAGCTGCTCTTTACTTCATCTAATATAAAAATCTGGGGTAGAGCTCTCACTGGCCTAGCTGGGGCCATGCGACCATCCCAGAACCAGCCAGGGGTCAGAGGAAAGTGATTCACTGATTGGCTAAGCCAGGGTCACGTGGCCAGCCCTGGGGCTGGGAAGTAGGACCAGCTCCTTCTGAACCCCAGTCACCTGAGAGAAAGGAAAGGGGCGGCCCTTAAAGCAAAACCGGCTGGGCAGGCAGAAACAACACAGGGCCACTCTCTGCGGTGTTGTTGTTCTAAATCTGCTCTATTGAGGTATAATTTACATATAATAAAGTCCACCGAGCTTTAGTGTATAATTCAGTGAGTTTTGACGAACTACTCAGTTGTGATCTAGACCACTGATTGTTGGTCTGGAGCCAGACATCCCTGCCCTGCTCGGTCTCCCCTTGAGCAGCGACGGAAACCTGCACGGCCTCTGTTTCCCTGCCTGTAATATGGGGTGGTCTTTCTTAACATTGCAGAGATGTTCTGAGAATTGAATGAAATCTGATGTAAGATACCATGTGAGCAAGCACAATGCCTAGCATGTATGTGTACTCAGCATGCTGTGGGCAGTCACCTGCTAACTGAAAGGTGATATGTCAAAAGAGCACAGCACTCCGTGACATGTAGATGGTCCTCAGTTAATGAGTATTGTGGGTGTTACCTGGTTGTCTGCTTTCTTTCTGTGGGCGCCTTCATGGTTGTGCTCTTTCATCTTTCCCTTTCTTGGAAGAACAAAGAGCTATGTCCCCTCTCTGCTCCATGCCTATCTCCTTTAGCCCTTTCACCCTTGAGAAACGGCCACAGGGATTTCTGTAAGGGTTTAAATTGATTGAGCTGGCTGGAGAGAATCATAAACCAGTCTTTCTGTGATTTGATTCAAGGAGAGAAAGGGAAACAGCTGGCTTTAAAGGGGGCCACTCCATCAGGACAGCAAGAATGTTTGCATCCGTGAAATGGAATTAAATTTGATGCTGGGAATTCTCATTCCTTCCCCTCCCCCTAGAAATGGCCCACTGAAATAAAGGTTAAAAGTATTTCACTTATCAATTTTAATTGATTAGATTGCTAGTTGAGATCACTTAACTGAGCCCTTTTGGGTAGTTGGCCATTAAGAAAGTAATGGCTGTCTGTCTTTACCCAGCCTGATTGTAAATTATGTTTTTTGCTAAAGAGGGTGACATTCAGAAAATATTAAGAATTAGGGATTTTAGAAGCATATGGTACTAGAATAAGATATGCATGTGTTGTTGGTTGGCTTTATTATTATTATTATTTTTTGCAAATGCTGGACCCTCTCACCTGTCATTGAGGGAAAAAATTACCATACCTGCATTGGACAAAATGCCTTCTGTGTATACAAAATACATACCTGCTGAATAATTGAAGCTGGGTGTGTTTTTCTCTCCCTGCTGAGCTTGGGGAAGCTGACTCAGGGAGAAGTGGTTAGGATTAGTTCTCTTTATCTAACTTGATACGTCTGATAGGCTTAAAGGAATGCCGTGTGTAAGAGGTGACATAAATTGTATTTACTGACCTCATCACACTTTGATAAGAAACCACAGCTATACAGAGTGTTCCTCAGAAGACATCTCAAGTATTTGCTGCCCAGCTGTAGGTCTCTGGGCAGGGTAGGGTATGACAGGCAAGCCCTGGCACAAAAGGGACTTCTGACAAGGAGCATCAAAATGTGGTTGCCACTTGGGAAAGAGGCAAACTCACCATGCTTAAAACAAAGCCTGTTTTGGTTTTTGCTGGAGAGGAGAGTAGCATGGGTAGAAGTCACAAACTGGCAGCCATGTGGGCTGTATCTGCTGGGGAGGAGGCAGGGAGGAGGGAAGAAAGGAGGGAGGGAAGGAGGACTAAATAAAACAGATTAGATTTTTAGAGAGACTAATTATTGAATCTCCATACACCAGCCCTCATCTTCAACAGTTATTATAATACCACTTTACTAAGTTTTATTTCATCTGTCCCACCATCTCACTTTTAAAAATACTCCACTCACCCACACAGTGTGTTAAAGCAAAAGGAAGACATCATATTGTTGCATCTATAAATACTTCTCTTTGACAGATAAGGATTTTGCATTACTCTTCTTAATTGAATTGGTTGCCACCGTTTGTAAACGGAGTGCCTCCCCAGCTCTGGCTGCTGCTTTGGGCTGGAGTTGGGGGGCTGAGGCAGGCCCTGTAGATGGGGTCTGTGTGCCCCCACATGCTGCCAGCCTGGCCTCGTTAACTGACATTGATTTTGCAGCTCCTGGTGAAGTTGGAAGTAATCAGCTGTTGTAGCCTTCCCCAGAGTCATAATGCCAGGCTTAGTGGCCTGACCTTTAATAGGGCCCTAAAAGACTTTCCAAGGACTGTTAAGAAGGTCCAGTGAGATCATGTATGCAAAGCACACAGCGCATGCTTGGTGTATAGTAGGTATCAGTGAACAAGAGCCGCCTGTCGGCCCTGCTGGTAGCCGTTGAATACGTGAGCTCTGACTCATGCTGCCGGGCTCCAAGTGTTGTGAAAGGATTCTCGACTGTTTCCAGATACCATGGGCAATCACAGTAGGGAAGAAATTATCTGTTATCTCCATACACCTTAAAAAGAGATACCAGACAACCAGGCATGTTCAGTTACCACCTTCCTTCTAGCCTTCGATACGTGGGCACTCGGTGTTCACATGATTGTAGCCGTAGCACGTGCTACGTGCATCTAATAGTCTGATTTTTAAGTCCATTTATGAAACCTATTCAACAAAAATCGATTTGATGAAATCTGTTCATTCATTTAACTCTTTGTCGAGCACCTGCTGCGTGCCAGGCACAGTGCTAGGAGCTGGGATGTGATAGTGAGCACTAGCCAGACTTGGTCTCTGTTTTGGGGGGCTTCCAGTTTGGGGGAGGGAGAGGATAGAGGAGTGGGCCACTAACAGTAAATGCTTGATCACAGATTGATTGAGATGGCTCTGTGGAGGTGATGAACAGGGTCCCGTGTCAGAAAGAAAATGCAGAAATGAGGCTGCCATTTGAGGATGGCAGAGTGAGGCTGAGGTGGGAGAGAGCTTGCCACTTCCCAGGATCCCGATGCAGGCTAGTGTGGCTGACACATAAGGAGCAAGGGGGTCTTGTGGCCTGGAAGAGCCAGGTGTCAGTTCCAGGGTTTCCCATGGGGACATATACATACACACTTCTAGAGTGGGCACTGCAAGGTCAGACAGTCCAGCAGCAGCTTTCCAGCTGCACTGAGGGGCTAGAAAGGCCGGGCAGCACAGTGGGTATAAGCATGGGCTTGGGAGTCAGACTGTGCCCGGATTGAAATCCCAGCTCTGCCCCTTGCCACTTGCCAACTGTATCAGACAGGTAACTTAACCTCCTGGTGCTTCAGTTTCCAAATCTGTAAACTGGGAGTCATTGGGAGGAGTAGAGGAGCCAATATATGTGAAGTACCTAGAACAGTGCCTGGCACAATTGCAGAGCGGCCATTTAGGAGGTTGTGGCAAGGTCCAGGGTCAGTGCCAGTGGGCAAAGGGGGATGGGATGGTCTGGGGTCAGCATTTTGTGACTGACTTGCGATGCTGGCGATCCAGGGGGAACTTGGGGACAGTCTGGCTGGCAGGGTCTGGGAGGATAGTGATTCTGTCACCAGGAGGGCCAGTCCTGGAGGAGGAGCTGGTTCCAAGCAGAAGATGCTGAGGTTAGTTGGGTGGCCAGGTGACAGGTGCAGTAAGGGGAGCTGGGCAGGTCGAGGGGGCAGGTTGGAAGCCCCTTCACATTTCAGATTTCAGAACTGTCGTGTTTAGTGGCCTGCATGATATTCCATCGACTGAGACTTCTAACACAGCTGTTCCACAGTTATTGGACATTTCCACTTTTTCCTGGGTTAGGCTGTTCCTCAAAAGATCCTCGTGGCAGTTTGTTGGAATCCTGCATCGTGTGGTGTGAGAGAGAGGGCCCCAAACCTCCAGAGAAATGTCTGCAAGCAAGCAGACCTCTTTACTCTGGTCCGATCACTCAGCCAGGCTTGGATACACTTCCCAGGGTCTCG